TCACTGGCAAGTTAACATCAATAGTTGACAATGAAAAGATGAACCAAAAAATGGAATCAAATGAAAATTTTGAAATTAACTGATCAAGTTGATCAACAATTCAAGTTGATCAAGTAATACAAAAAATGAAACCAAAAATTGAAACAAAAGTTGAAATACGATGAAAAGCAATTGAAGTAGACTTGAAATTTGGTTAACCTAAACTGGTTAAGGGTAACAATTGAAAATTATACAATGATAAAGGTAAAGGCAAATAAGTTATTCAAATGGATAAGATGAAAATGATAGGTTTTGATGAGCATAACAACAAAACAATTGAACTCAAGGGCTGTTAGACATAGAATTATCTTCTTCTTCTTGTCTACCTTTCTCTTAACTCGCCATTTTCATCTTCAACTTTCCTCTAGGTGGCCATGGATTGTCATCCTTGACCACCTTGGAGTTGAATGGGCAACAAGCAGACTTGAAAAGCAAACCAAGAAATGCCAATAAAACTGGACAAATACACCAAAATATTAATCAACATCGGTTGTTCAATAAATTGTCTTTACAATGAAGGTTATAATTTATAATGTTCACCTTAATGTCATACAATGAAAGCTGTAAAAGTGAGATTTTAAAATGTCCAGTGATTGATGATTAATATCAACAATTATTATGAAAACCAACGATCAACTTGGATCAACATTTACTAATACTAGTTTATTGTTACAATCAAATATAAAGAATTGTAATAATTTGTAGAAAGCCATCAATCAAATCAGGTATAAGGATAAAGTACATAAGGTTAGGAGATGAAAAAGGTTTCCAGTTGACTGAATGTTCAACAGTCAACTGTAGCATAAAGTACCATGAAAAAAACAAGGTGACCAGTAAAAGTGAATAAGGCAACATTTAATGAAGAGCAAGAAAAGTTGAAAAAAAGTTCAAAGGTGAACCAAGCGGCGAAAAGAGTGACCCAAAAGATGGAGAGCACCAAAAATAGGTGATCATTATCATTGATTATCACCATCTTAGTAAATCAGTTTACCTTGTATTTTAGGTGTGGTAAAGGTAAACTGGAAAAAAAGTGTATCAAGAGACGAAAGCTTGCCAATTATCTTAGACGCTTCGACAATTATGGACTATTGTCTTGATTATATTCATCTGTCCATGTCTGGTTTACCCAACCATCCAAGTTGGTAAAATGGCGAAACAAAAGTTCAAGTTCAGAGTTTCTAGATTACAGGTTTATTGTTGATCTTCAGTTAGTCACACCATAGGTGTGTTTATACCAGCCTCAGGCTTGGCGATATGTTAATGATAATCATGATTACTAGAGATCAGGGAACTTTGGAATTTTGGTTTTTTTTTCTTTTCTCTTTGTTTAGAAATCGAATTAGGAAAAACATTTTCTGACCTTTTTATGGATCCATCAATAGGTGAGGTTTAATCGTATTTTGATTTGTAAGGTTAAGAAGAAAAGGTATTTTTTATTGAGATGATAATTGTCTATCAATTTTCTTTGATCCTATTTAAAGGTTTAATGATAATCAACTTGAAAAGATGAAAATCTCTTCAAGAGGAAAGTTCATTGACAATGAATAATAGATATTAAACATTTAAGGTTCACAATGGGTAAAGTTATTATAAATCATTATGTTAATGATTCATCTTTTTTTTCAGCTTTCAATATTTTCTGGTAAACAATTTTCAATATTTTTTTACCGGTTAAGATGATACAAATTCAAGTAGAAATCATGTTTCATGGTGAGTTTCATTTAAATTAATATGGTTACTTGAACCATTTCAATGTAAGTTTCATTAAACATCTAAACAGGCCCATCATCAGGCCTTCATTTTTTGATAAGTTTAATTAAATTTAATCTTAATCACGTTCAAGTTTAACCTTTTTGATGAAACTCAGACTCAGCTTGGACAGATTAAAAAATGTTGAAAATCAATGTTAACACAATCTGATGAAATGTAATATTCAAAGAAGCTCAACTGTCAATTGTTATCCATGTTAAGTCACGGTTAAGGTTTTCATTATTGGTGTAGACTCATAGCTCATGGTTATGATGATAATCATGATGATGGTGATGATTAAAGGTTATCGATGAAGAAGGAAAGTTGATTGTTCAATTGGCAATTGCTGGTCGTGATTTAAATGCTTCATGATTGTGGTTTTTAAATTTCTTTAACTTAATAAAATACCAATCATTATCAACTCTTTCTTATCCATCATATATTCATGATATGTTCATGAGCTGGACCTTCAATTAATCATCTAATTGTATCAATAATAAAGGTAATAAGTGATGGTTAAATGTTCAAATTAACAATAAGCAAGAAAAGTGTTGAAAGATTGTTTAACATTTAAACGTTATTTTGCTGATCGGTTGTGATTAACCAAAAGGTTTGTATAACAATTGAACAGTTGAATATCATTTGAAACCCTTTTCTGGTTCAATTGTTTTCTGGTTAACAAACCAGTCAAAAGGCTTCCAGAAATCATCTTGAAAAGGTTAATTAAGAAATTATTTACTGCTCCTGTTAACAATTAACTTAATCATCTTCTTTATTATATCCGGATTTAAGTAAGGAAAAGGACAACAAAAAGAGTCAAAAATTGAGCAAAACATTTGATAAAAATGATAAAATGGACTGTTGGTAAAAGGTTAGTTTGAAATAAAGAGCAACAATTAAAATAATCAACGATAATGTGAAGGTTTGTTAATGTTACTAATGGACTTGGCAGACTCAACAAGTTACTTCAGATTGATGATTTTAAACTGTGATCATTTAATATACATTAATAGATGAAAAACTTAACAATGTTTGATGAAGAGTTTGAAAATGGTTGAGAAAAATATCTAAAAACTGAGCTTCTTTCATTATTTTTCATTGTTATTTGTTATTTTAAAAATAGTTCATCTTTTAAAGTTTCCTTTCAAAACCTGTGTTATTAGATTGAAATGCAGGTAAAGCTTTTATTCCAGGTTACATTAGAATCATCTTTGCTGCAAATTTTACCTTTTCTTTCAGGTTATCTTTCTTTTCATTCAAATCTAATCAAAAAAGATGGAGAATAGGCAAAGAATGGAAAGAAATTTTACACAACTAATTATCATTAAATTATTGAATAGAGATGAAGGATAATGGTCAACAAACTGATCACAATGATGAACATAATGATTATATAAGAGGCAACAGTTTCAAGTTTAATGTTTGATTGTTATTGTTGATGCTCTGGTTTGCTGTATTACAATCAATATAAACAGACAGAAGAGCGAGAGAAATAAGAAATAAAATGAAAAAAAATAAGATGTTCAATCAACTAATCAATCATGTAATACAACCATTTTCAAGGTAATACAAGGTCTTTGGTTAAGTATTAGGTTAACATGAAAAGTACCAGAGTTTGGAATAACAAAAGTCAATTTCTGGTTATTTCAAAAGGTATTAGCTGATTGTCAGTCAATTGTCATTATAAATTCATATTTTTCAAACATGGAAAACATCATTTTAAACATTTCAACATGTTGGTTGAATTGAAAAGATTTTTTGTTTTTTTGTTCAAACTCAATTAACAAGTCTTCTTCACTTTACCAGGCAAAGGTTTTTGATGAACATGGGGATAAGAAGCACCCTGGTTATTGTGTTGACCTTATAATAATGATAATCCAAGTAATGGTTGTTATAATAACAAGGAAAGTCCATTATTAACGGGTGATCTACGATTCTTTGGCCTCTATAATCATCATCATTACCATCTTCACCTTCAATTTATTTATTTTCTTGAGAAAATTTTTTTCTTCTCTTCTTGTTGTTGGTAAGCTTTGATCAATGAGATTCTTTGGGTTTCATCTTCTTCTTTTCTCTTCTTTTCTTTCTCTATGTAACAAGAAATTGGGTTTGACCTCTTACCTGATTTTCTTAACCTTCATCTTCTTCTTTTCTCATTCTTCTTTCTTCTTTTTTTTCTTGGTCTTTGGTTTCTTGTTTAACCGAAAGGTAAACCTTAATAAATGGCTGTGTATTTAAAGTAATAAACATTTACTCATTGGCATTCCTTTTTTACCTTTCAATTTTGGTATTATTTTTGTCATAATTTGCGCTTCAATTGTTCATCTCGAAGTGGTCATTTTAAGGTTTACATTCAATAAACATTTACAGAAAATTTCATTTCAATTGGTCTTGACGCTTAAGGTAAACTTTGCTCTTATAAATTGTTCAGATACGATGATCATAGTCAGGATTGGAATAGGAAATTTAATAAAGAGATATTCCACTTGAAATGAACTTTCATCGGATGAAGAAACAAAAATGTTGCTCAGTTAGTGTAACATCATTGGCTTGAGCCATTTGAAAATTAAATTGATCTAATGTCGATAATTGCAGGTGAAATAAATTAACTTGATGGGATAACCTTTTTTTATCAACATTATCTGCAAACTGAACGGAACTGAAGTAACTTTTTTTGCACCAACATAATCATTACAAGTTTCTTGCCGATTTTTAAGAAATGAAAAGTTGATTGATCTTTCACTTTTCAACCAGAATATCAACCCTGAGAGGGCCTAAAATACTGACGATAGGAAAGCCTCTAAAGATATTGAATCATTAGGAAAAAATTTTGCTATAAACCTGTTCATGTGATCCTCATCAATTTCAACTTGAAGCTTCTAATCACAAAATTCAGCTTTGATTGCATCAACAACGACAATCAAAACAACGCAAGACAGTTACTTATTTGATTAAAATTCATGGAAATCAATAGATAATGAATTTTGCAATTGAATTTGCATTTGAGTTTTGACTAATTTTGGAAAATATCTTTCGTTTTGATATTCGTCGATTTTCATAGTTTGACATTTGAACAGTTTCAAAGCTTTGCAGTTGAGTTTCTTTGGCACAGTTTCACCGGTACACTTGATGGTGAATAGGAATCGAGATTGATTGAACAAAAAATACTCCAAAATGGCACGAATGAAATGATGCTATTAGGGTTTACTCACCTTGATCGGATTGACAGTTGATTGGTTGAATGAGAGTGTTGACAAGCACAAGGTAAAGACAAATTGTAACAATTAAAAATTGTTTATTAAACAAACCAATGTATCTATTTGATAACATTGTGTATCAAAGTTGACCTATGTTTTGCGATGAATAATTGTGATGATAATTTGAAGTGTATCAATAATAAAAGCAACAATCCAGTTGCAACGATTGAGAAGAAGACGATTTTTGCCAAACCGATAAAACCATGTTTAAATCCAACTAATTAAACTGCTCGACAAATATCAAAGAGAAGAGTTGATCAACAAAATGTAAAACACCAATTTGATGGATCAACAAAGACACATGTAATCCAGTTAATAATCCGTTGAAATTGTTTCACTTTGAAGTTACGATATTTGTTGGTTGAAAACAAACACAAAATCAACAGCAACACTGTAATAGAAACATTGAAATCGGTAAAATTAATCAGTAATCAATAGATGCACATCCAAACAATTGAAGGAACTAGAAAACTGGTTAAAAAAGAGTAAAAAATTACATGAAAAATGGGTGCAAAGAAGAGCAAAAATATTGTCGTTATTCAAAAAGAAAGAAAGAAATGGAAGAAAAGTTTTGCTTTCTCACCGATCAAATATTTTACTCTCTTTCGTCGCAAGGTAACTTAACAAATGAGAGCTAACCTTTTCATCATCTTCTTTCTTTTGCTGAAAGTCTCTCTCTTTCTCTTTCTTTTTCCCTCTTTTTCCAATCGTGAGCAACAAAAATGTCTTAGCTAAACCAAAAAAAGAGAGGGAGACAGAAGAAAAGATTTACAGACAGAAAAGAAAGAAACCTAACCTGTTAGTCAACACGAAAAGATTTTTCCCCTTAAAATTTTTCTTCTCTTTTCTTCTTCTTTCTTTCTCTTTCTTATCTTCTCCTTTCTTCTCACTTCTATCATCTTCACAGTGTCTAACTTTTCTTATTTTTTCCAGCTCTTCCCATGGAAAGAATCAAAATATTGGTAAATCTCTTGGAAGAAAGAAAATAAACTTCAGATGATTACCATTTCTACTTACCTATCAACTTTTACTCATTGTTAGTCAAAGGTTAAACCCATAAATTTTTGGTTGCAACTACTCATCCAACAGTCTTGATTGTTTCCAATTTGTTGCTTCTTCATGTTGTTCATTTCACTTGTTTATTCCTTCAATAATACAAATAAGGGATGATATTAATTTCGACCCACAAATTCAATTGATAATGTCATTCTACATTAGGAACCTTTCTTCTTCCAATTCAGTTGAACGGTACATTTAGTAGCATCTCATTGTACAGTTGAAACGGTAACGCATTAAATACAAACATGTTAACATCCTTGACCACTGAAAATCAAAAGTATAATGATGAACCCACAATAAAGAAGAATGAAAATAAATACAAAATTAATTGGTTTGTTGAACAGTTTAGTTGATGCATATTACGATATGCAAACTAATAGCAAGGTCGAGGAGCAAATTAAGAAATTGAATTTATTATTTTACCACAGAACAATCAAATAAATAAAAAGATTGGATACTCTTTGAGTAATAAGATTGTCATTCACTAATTGTTGAAATAATTGAAACGCGATTGAAATAAACATTAATCCGACTAAAGACAATTTTTGCCCCTTAATGCCATCTATGGTGCGCCGCTAATACTAAAATTAACGGATTGATTAGCAATCCAGTTGAGAGTAACATTTTAATTACAAAAGATTCATATTTAAAAGCCTAAACTAACTAATGTTAGTTACATAAGTAAAATTCATAGATGCAAAGCATGAGGTTCACATAATGTCTGATATCTCTAGTGAATCTTTATATTCCAATTTTCAGCATTAGTTTCCTCAAGATTGATCAACTGATAGAGCTTACAACTCCTTAGTCTTTTGATATAAAAACTAGAAGTGATCTTGAAAATGAGCTTATTTGGCTTGGTTTTTGATGATTAAAAGTATTGAAAATCAAAATTTCATTAGATCTAATGCTCCATTAATTGTAACTTCGGTTGAAATTTTCAAAAATTACCAAAAAATTACATCTAAAGTTGAAAGTAAAAATCTTATTACAATTTTTAAAGTCAATGCTCAAAATTGATTAACAAAACAGGAAAAATTTTCAGCTTTGCCTCTTTTATTGCCATCTGCATTGTGCTAAAGTCACTAAAGCTATTATAAATTTAACATTGAATAATTTTGATAAACTTGATGATTGTGATCATAATGATGATGTGAGTGACGATCATAGTGAGGCATAATAAATCCAATTTCTGATTGAATTTTGCTGAAATCTATTTGCTAATTGAAAATGTCTAAAGAATAGCCGCAAACTATTATTTAGTGTCGAATCAACATCATTCAGTTATCATCATACAATGGCTACAGTGAGTTTTGCCAAAATCCTAAGAAATCAGTTCAAGTAAGTAATATTCTTAGCCTAAACTGGCCAAGTTTAATTGATAAAAATGATTAAAACTCGTAAAATTTACAATTTGGTTCTAGTAAAAATAATCAAGTTTTGTTGGGTTACAAGAAGCGAGGATTCGGAGTTAATAGATGGAATGGCTTTGGTGGTAAAGTCAATATTGGCGAGGACATTGAAGTTTCAGTGAAAGTTCCTCTTCGAGGAATCTTCATTAATTGCTCAAGAAATTGTTAAAGTTGGCATTTTGTGCTTTGATTCCGATGCGTATTCATGTGTCCATGAAGCTCATGTCTTGTGCTCAACCGTTCAGTGCTTTCTTTATGTACCAAGGTGTCACTGATCATAGATTAATCATAGTCAATAATTATCAAAAATTGGAACCAGTGGAATTACTAGGAAAATCCTTTATTAGACATATAAAGGATAGACATTCACCTCAGACATTAGACTTTATTAGACAAAGTTCATCATTTCCGAACAGGAAAGTGTCTCCCACCAGTTGGAAATCCAAAGCAATCTAAATATTAGAAAAAGAAAAGGAAAAAAATAGTTAAATCTTCAGTTTCATCTTTCTTATTCATAATGGCATAAAAACTGTGGCTTTACCCGTGTAACCTTATAAAATAATGGCACTGTCTTTTTCCGTTGAATACAAGTTTGATCCATCATTGAAGTACATAGAACATTCATCATCTGAAAACGGAAAGGAAAAATAATAAGTTCATTAGATTATTAGATAAACTTAAGTTTCATGCAAAAATATAAAAATACACATAATAAAGCATTGTGAGAGTTGAAAAAATTATGCTAGAATATTTGACCATCAATGACAAAAAAATTGATATGATAAATAAACTTACGTTCACGCTCATATTCAATCATATCAAGTGATACTTGAGCACCTTCAGATGAATTCCATGAGTCAACTCGTTGTTTACCATGACAAAAAGTTCCAACTGACATAGACATCAAAACACGATTAAGGTCACTTCTTTGATAAACCCAGCATCTATATCTGCTATAAGCATCCATTTCATCATCTATACAATATATAAAGTCAAAGTATCAAATTTTTGCGTCAAGATTGTGGCTAAACGGAGCGGGTTCCAAGAAAAAAAATTACACAGTCTGAAAGCCCTGATTCAACTACAACGACGAAAAATAGAAAACCTAACCTCAGAATCTCATGACCTCTGAGAAATTCATGAAAATAGAGAATGGGGGAAAAAATGTAGAATCCAATAACATTGAGAGAGGGGGAAAAACTTTTTTGTTATTCGGGTTGATGTTTCATTGTTGGACCAGGATTTTATGTAAAAATTTGTCATTTGAGTAAAGAGTAAAGAAAGGCTTTTTTTACCATAATGTCTACCACTCAATCCAACACATCCACCAAATCAACCAAAACAACATCAACAAAAAGACTTTTCCAACAAGAAAGAAGAAAACAACAAAATTGTCCACCACCATCTTGACCACTTTTACACCATCTAGCATGTCCACTATTAATCGTCATCATATCTCAAAAAGTGGTCAAAAATTTGGTGGATTTGGGTGGTGGATAATCTTATAAGAAAAAGTGTTTGTAAATGTAATGCAAAAAAGCCACTCTAAAGTGGTTAATGAAAGTGGTGGAAAAAAATGGTGTTTGATTTAGTTGATTTGGCGAATGTGTTAGATTGGGTGGTGGACATTACCGTGAAAAGACAGTTAGCATGGGTGGTTAAAAGAAACTTGCGATCAGCCATGATCGCATTAGTTTCTTGTAAGTAATTAAATATGATTTCAGATCTTCCTTCCAAAATCCAATGCATTTCATTCTATGGTCAGGATCACTTTGATAGTCAACTGCTGTTCCTCGATGATCAACACTGATGCAATATTCTGCATCAATTTCCATTAATTTCTGATCAGTATCACAAACAGAAATATCAGATATCTTTTCTTTACATACAATAGTACTTCTTGGACTTTGGGTCACTCCACCACGAATTCTGGTTGTGAAAGGAATCTCTCCTTTTTGTGTGAAACGGAATTTACCTGCCACTGGACATTTAATGGCAACTGGTTTGGCTGCTAGAAGAATATCGTATTTCCATTCTTCATCGTCATCAAAGTTAGTCCAAGCACAAATTGTCCCAAATTGATCTGAGCTCATGGCTTGGCCTTTTCGATAACGGATCACATTGGATTGAGGAGTGGCAAAATCAAAACAAACGAAATCTTTTCGACATCCATTGATACCTAAACGAGCCATTACGTATCGTGAACCTTTCTTCTGATGACAAACATAAATCTCTTCCTTTTCTGTACCAATATCTGGTCTCCAGCGCTCCTCCATATGGGTTGAATTGATCTTAACAAGAGCATCAAGATTGGCTGTTAATCCACTCTCCTCTCATTCCGTCTGGAAGCTGACAAGATGGGACAACAGTTGCTGCTTTAACTGGATGTAGGGTTAGCCTCTCTGGTCCTTGTTGAGGTGTCCTCAGGACGTTACATTCAGCCGTAGTTGAAACAGCAATGTGATTGGTATCATCTCGATTATTTAACTAGAGAAATGAAAAAGTTAAATTGTTATTTATTTCTTCATTTACTTATTTTTGCAAAAAGAAATGAACCCTTTAATGGCGGAAAAAAATCAATATGAACTTACGAAACAACGATAAGCCTCAGAACGTCGAGATTCTCGCGAGTTAAGGACTGCAAAATAATGATTTTTTCCTACATACCAATCACCAAGACATTTGTACTGAATTTCTTTAAGGTCATTTTCTTCCCATGACTTATAAATCATTGTAAATTGTTGATTTACAATGGAAAATTGATTTCCAGGTTTCTGACAAGCTTTAATCTGTGATTCAGCATTGAAACATTCACCGGCTGCTAGATGAGATAATCGATAACCAAACTGCCAAACACCTTCCAAGCTTGATTTACAATTTTTTCCTTGAGAATTTGTAGCTTAAAAAATAAAAAAATGAGAATCAGGAAATTCGAACCGATTGGAGTAAACTTACAGAAAAGTGTGATGAGTTCAGAGTCAAAACTTGTGGTGGAGCAAACATTTTCGAGGATTGGTTTGTTTCCAATAACATCATTGATACAGTCAATACACAAACATGTTATAAATTAATGAAATAAATGAAGGCTATTTTGGTAATAAGGTAACAATAATACAATAATTTGCGTATAAGGCAATAATTTGAAAATGTAGCTTGGATTTAATCATTGTGATGTGCAGTCAGTGAGTTTCATTGAATTGATAAATTCTTGGCTCAGGTAAGTTGAGTAGCTACGTTGATCCTGAGGTAAAGCAATTAACTGGGATGTAGCATCACTGAAGATTAAATCATGATAACCATCTTCAGAAACAAACATTTTAAATGTATAATCATGGGAATATTTTGATCCATAATATTGCTGAGCAGTTAAGAAAAGATTAACATAAGCAGTGATATATTGATGAGGCTTTAAAGGACTGGTAACCATTGCATTACCAGGAACTTTACCAATATTACATTTAACTGATTCATTGTAACTGGCCCGAGTTCCGTCTCGACATAATAACTCAAAATCACTTGGAATTAAATTACGAGACCAAAGAGCAGGATTCCGACCAGCAGTATTTTCCAGGATTGCAGTATGTTTAACAAAAGCAACATTCCCTCCTCCCTCTACAATACAACGGAGAGCACCGGTAGAGCCATAGAAAGGTTCATTTGCGTCACGAGCACAGAAATATTTCGATGTTCCCGCACAAAGGTCACAAAGATTATTAAGGCCCCAATCAGAAGTTGTATAGTCGGGTGAAAGAGCGCCCGGTGCACAGGATTTCTGGAAAAATTGAGATGCTGCAGTGAGAGAGTCACAACCATAAGATCTCATTCGATTATTAGACAGCAAGAAACCTAATGGCACTACCCAGCCTGCAGCGGTTCCAACACCGGTGTGGCATGATGATTTACCTTTGAGGAAAAATAAATCTGACTCACGATCAGTTTTTTTAGCAACAGCAACGACATAATAGCTGGGATCAGTGAGGTCATATTTTTCTGTCAATATCGGTACTAAGCCATATTGATGACCGGCTCGATAAACATCTGCAGCATCCAGCATGACCAGATCGGCTCGACCTCGACGGATTGCTTCCATACAGCCGATTGCACTTCGTTCAACAACGCAGTTTAATACAGGTTGCAAGAAGGCTCCACGAAAAGTTGTCACCATTTGATGACATTTTTTCATTTCAACAGCTGAAACTACACATAATCGAGCACTTGGGACTGGACATTTTTTTAACTCTTTGGACAATAAATCGTAATTTTCCTTTTTTAAATAATTACGGAATGTTTGATCAGGCCCAGATAACGGTTCAAAGCCATTGAGATCATCTGAAAATAAGAGATTTGCTCTATCTCCGTATTTCTGAGGAGCTAAATAGTCGGCTAAAGCAAACGATGAGGCAGAATTTTTTTCACTGTTATAACCTTGACCATATGTATAATCTCTGGCCATGTTAAAAACTCGGATTGATTGCATGAGAAACTCTTGAACTTTTTTCCTTTCTTCTGGTAACATAGAAGAAAAAACGACAACAGCATGAGCCGGAGAACGACCCCAATTACAATCTGAATAACTGTCCAATGATCGACGACCTCCTTGCGGACATAAAAGCTCAAGATCATTTTTTCTAAAGCTATACTGATTGCGTAAAGACATTAATTGAACAGTGGAATGTTTAAGGAAAGCAATATCTCCAACATCGAGAAGACACTTGAAAGCACCTTCAAAATTAGCATATTCGTCCGATCCAGAACATTTTGAGTGACATAGAGCACAAATAGATTCAGGGTTATCACCACTAGGATTGTTTTTATCATTTAGAGCATTAGGAGTGCAAGATTGGTTGAAAAACTTGGCTGCAGTTTTAACAATATTATTACAATCTTTTACTTCCAGTACTCCGTCATTAATCAAACGAGCTAATGGCAGGGCCCAGCCAGCCATTTGATTTACTCCAGGAAAACAAGCTTTTTTTCCTTTCAAGTCTTGAATGTCTTTTATGTGCGTTGATGAGCTTCTTCTTACAACAGCGACTGAATAATAATAATCTTCCAGTGTAGAACCATATCTTTCAGCTATGATTGGTACAAGAGAATGATGTCTTCCTGCAATGAAAACTTCCCCTGGATCCAATGTAACAAGATGGGCTCGTCCATTTTCGATGAGATTCATACAATGCTCTTTATCAGAGGCTTGTTCACATTTTAAATTAAATTCAAACGATTTATATTGGCCAACAGGCACACTATTTGGATAGCGTTTTATGGCTTCAGCCCAATCGCGGCATTTATTTTGTTCGGCCGAATTTATTGTACACCATATCAATTCCTTGGTTGGTGTACCTTTAGAATACTGAGTGAAATAGCCTGAAATACAAAAATGATTATTCATTATTATTAGAAAATTATCAACTTAGAACTTGGAAAAGTTATGTGATCCTCATCAATTCCAACTGAAAGCTTATCTTCTATAACAAAATAAAACTTGGAATGCCCCAACAACGACAATCAAAGTAATGCAAAGACAGTTTCACCGGTACACTTGATGGTGAATAGGAATCGAGATTGATTGAACAAAAAATACTCCAAAATGGCACGAATGAAATGATGCTATTAGGGTTTACTCACCTTGATCGGATTGACAGTTGATTGGTTGAATGAGAGTGTTGACAAGCACAAGGTAAAGACAAATTGTAACAATTAAAAATTGTTTATTAAACAAACCAATGTGTCTATTTGATAACATTGTGTATCAAAGTTGACCTATGTTTTGCGATGAATAATTGTGATGATAATTTGAAGAGTATCAATAATAAGAGCAACAATCCAGTTGCAACGATTGAGAAGACAATTTTTTCAAAACCGAAGAGTTGACCAACAAAATGTAAAACACCAATTTGATGGATCAACAAAGACACATGTAATCCAGTTAATAATCCGTTGAAATCGTTTCACTTTGAAGTTATGATATTTGTTGGGCACAAAATCAACAGCAGCACTGTAATAAAAACGAAAGAATTCAAAAAGAAAGAAAGAAATGGAAGAAAAGTTTTGCTTTCTCACCGATCAAATATTTTAGTCTCTTTCGTCGCAATGTAACTTAACAAATGTGAGCAACAAAAATGTCTTACAAAGTCAATGCTCAAAATTCATTAGCAAAACGGGAAAAATTTTTGCCTCTTTTATCGCCATCTGTATTATGCTAAAGTCACTAAGGCTCAATTTAACATTGAATAATTTTACATTAAAACTTGATGATTGTGATCTGATAATACTAACGAAAGATCTAGTCTACAAACTAAATCTAATAAATAATCAAATTTGTAGATATTTCATGAATCAGACTCGTTGTTTAACGAAAATTTATCAAGATGAAATAGATGAGTGAAGTTGATTTTGTTTAGAGGCATAATCATTCCAATTTTGATTGAATCTTGCTGAAATCTATTTGCTGATTGAAAATGTTTAAAGAATAGCCCCAAACAACAATCTAGTTAATCCTTCAAGACAGGGCTGCAATTACGATAGCCAATGGTAACAGGGACTTAAACAGTTTACGTTTCGATTTAAACCGATTCTGTTTTAAACAGTTTAAAAAATTGGTGCTAACTTAAAAGCTGAACAGATATTTCGTCCATTCACTGTTTTGACCCATCACCGAACAGTTGTATCCAATTGTCTTACAAACAGTTTCAGTGTCGAATCAACATCATTTAGTTATCATCATACAATGGCTACAATGAGTTTCACCAAAATCCTGAGAAATCAGTTCAAGTAAGTAATAATCTTAGCCTAAATTAGCCAAGTTTTATTGATAAAATAATCACTACACAAGATTGAATTTACTCACAGTTGTCAGTAACCAGTTGCGATATTTTTGTTTCTAACCGTTAAATTAACACTTACACTTGTTAGTTAACCAAATTCAAGGTGAATATCATCTGATAAATTTATGATGCGTATTGTGCTTAATAATCTAAGGTCGAGATTATACGATTAACAATTAGATAATATGTTGCAATCAATTTACTCCAGATTTAACCAGATCTTATTGCTATAAATGTTTCATTTCTTCTAATTTTCATTTCTGTTTCATTCATTTCAGGTTTCTCAAACGTCAACCCATAATGATTAGACCTCGTAAAATTTACAATTTGGTTCTAGTAACCGATCAGCAAAATAATCAAGTTTTGTTGGGTTACAAGAAGCGAGGATTCGGAGTCAATAGATGGAATGGCTTTGGTGGTAAAGTCAATATTGGCGAGGACATTGAAGTTTCAGTGAAACGTGAACTCTTTGAGGAATCATCTTTGATTGCTCAAGAAATTGTTAAAGTTGGCATTTTGTGCTTTGATTCCAATGCTTATTCATGTGTCCATGAAGCTCATGTTTTCCACGTTCCCAAGTTTTCTGGAAATCCAACAGAATCAGATGAAATGAAACCCAAATGGTTCCCAATCGACTCCATTCCAAGCAATCAGATGTGGAGTGACTTTCAATATTGGTGGCCTTATTTCAGAAAAGGTCAATTGTTCAGTGCCTTCTTTATGTACCAAGGAATGGACGTTGTCACTGATCACAGATTAATCACCGTCAATAACTATCAAAAATTGGAACCAGTGGAGTTACTCGGAAAATCCTTCATTAGACATTCACCTTTTTTGCCAACCCTTACTGCACCTCATTGATATTGCCTCAAAAATTGCTTTTCATCTGAAATCATATCTAATTCATCTTGATATCTTTTATACATTAATATCAAACCTGTACAAGAGCCTAGTGCTATCATGATTCATGATTTATACCTTTTCACTGACATTAAAATTACAATTGATTCTGAATCGATATTTTCCAAATCATTCACTTGATGGCGTTAGCATCTCATCTGTTGATTTTTCGTTCATCTTCTTCTCATCTTCTTGTCATCTTTGAGCTCTCTTTTTACTTTCTTTTTCTCTCTCTAATACAGTTGAACGTTATTGCTAAATTAAGCATCTTCTCTCTCTTTCTCTCTCTGTGCTCGAATTAATTTATTCACGCTTAAACAAGACTACCAGAGCAAAAAGGGACCAATATTGTGTACAAATTCACTGTGTAACATCAACGTGATTCAATCTAATTTTGCCGCTTCTTTTACATCTCTTCTTCATCTTTAAGCGACACTTTTTTCTCATTTTTTTGGTCAATCTTCTGCTAACTAGCATTTGTAAATCGTTGTCACCATCATCAACATCACAATCCTCTGCAACCAATCACCAATCTAGTCATCATTTGTCTCCAGTTTGGTAAACTGTTTTCAGTTTTTCACCAATCATTTCTTTTTTCTCTGTGCTTTACATTTGACTCGTCATTTATTGTTAACTAATTGAATATGATTTACAACCAGCAACAGGATACTTGTGTTGAACCATCTGACCATCAGTACAGCAATCTTTGCCTTTCCATGGTGGAAATTTTGTCTGTTAAATTGGATTGAAGTTATCTGACAACATTTTTCATCTATACAAACACATTCAACCCTTTTCTTGAATAATATTATTTGTTGTTCCCATTGAATCATGTTTCACCCACCATCTTACTGTCATTGCATTTGTTTCATTATTATTTCATCTTCCATATTGTTTGTGATTAGTTCAAGTCAACATACTCAGACATCATTTTCAAGATTAACTGAATCCACAGGTAAACTCACAACTCATGTCAAAAGGTTGAGGACCAAATCATTACATAATGGCACCTTAAATAGGCCCAAATTTTTCATACCAACTAATTTACCATTGAATAAAGAAATTAAAATCTACATTTTCAATGAAGAGGTTAAAAGGTAAGAGCAACCAAAATGTAAATTAAGATTGCAAACTCATTGTTTTCTTGTTTTTAAGGTTTACATTTACAATCAACTCTAAACTTGAGGCTCCATTAACATTAACTGTAACTCCATGCTCTGACCCAATCAAATGGACGTTTGAATTTGTTGAGGACATCAACGCAAAAGGTAGGATCAACTATCAATCTGAATTGCTAATCTATTCATCTGTGTAAACTAAAACAAATATATTACTTGTTTAGATAATTAGCTTATTTAGCCATTCATTTTTGTCTGTCATTAACCCTTCATTGAAATTTCCTGGCAAAATATTTGACGGCCTTTTGAAAAAAACGATGATTGATTAACAGAGAAACGTTTAGAAGTACAATAATTGGTTAATTGTTGAAACTGGTCTCGTCTGTTTATTGTCAAAATTTTATTCAACTTGATATTGTGATAATTGGATTCTGTTAACCATCAATTAGTAGGCAAAAACATCAATTATCATTTGGTAGTGCAAGCTTAAAATAATTTCAGTATCCAATTTCCTTGTGATTACATCAATAATCTAACATAACTGTCTAATTATTTGAATGTTAGATGATCTTTTCTTTGAAAATGTTTAAAGTTGAATAATCATTCAGAAAATTATTCATTCCAAATCAAAATGTATGTACATGCCAATATTACGAAGCAATATGAGGAAAGTTTTCTCGGTGAAATAATACAATGATTTAATCAAAGCTCATTTAAGTCAACCAGGTCAAATATTCAATCAATCAGTTAACATTGGTTATTGTGGTTTCCTTCCATAATGTGAACATTGTTAATGATTATCTGATGATTGAATCGATAAAGATCAATTGAATCTCTGTTTATTTATCCATCATTTTAACATGGGAGAAATGAACTTGGATGTGAATCAAGTTTGAGTGGAAACATTCAGGATTAATCTAAGACCTTTTTTTAATACGAAAACTCAAACGATTTAAAGCTTGTTTGCCTGAAGGGCTGAACAAAAAAAGTAAATTGAAATAAAGTCAAAGTAACGATTGCTGACAAAATCAGAACTCATCCAATATCGAAATAGCGTGAATAACCTGAAACTCTTGGATTTGGATTAGTAGTTCAACAACCCTGCACATCAACAGAAACCTACTGTTAATATTTACAATTATGTGTGAATATCAAGCATTTGAGTTTCTGTGTTATTTCTTACTAGACAATAAAGTATTGTAAAGTTGTAAGAACAAAAAAAAAGCTGAAATAAGCAATGAAAAACTAAATAAGTTATTCAAAAATCTGAAAATTCTTGTCATGGCTGCTAATTTACAGAGCGAGTCGACATTCTTGATGAATAATTCGGGTCTGTAAATGAGATTTATATTTGTTCAGATGAATGAGCATTTTTATCAAATCTTTTCCATTGTTGCTGATTCTGATTGTTTGCCCTTTTCCTCTCAATGGTCCAAATTGTTGTATTGATTTAACTTGTATTCCTGAAGCAATCTTTACATTGGGTTGAATGAAGAAAGCAGTATAATGTAAACTTTATCCTGTGACGGTCAACTTTTCTTGTCCTCATTTCTTCCATTGTTTTTCAGCTTTTCCATGTTTTCCTCGTTGCTTGATCTTTTCGCAAATGAATCCTTCTATTGATGTTGGACAATATTTTTGGTTAAATTATTGTAATGTTGAAAGATCCTCAGATTGACTACTTCATTGGTTATGAGAACCTAAAATTGGTAAAAAAGAGGAAAATTAATATAACATGTAATTCAATGGAGATTAAAAAGAGTTAAAATTATTTGGTTTTGAAATGCAAAGTACATTTTGATTCTCAGCAGTTGTCATCTTTTGATATCGTATTTCATTGGGCTAACAAAGATTGAATTGCAGAAAAAGAAATACAAAAAGTTAAATGAGAATCAAAAGAATGACTGTGACAATGGGAAAGCAATTTGTAAACAACAGCAGAAAATGATGTCTCAATAGGATCGTTGAAATTATAATTGAAAATAAAAGATGTAACAATGAGAGATCGGTTAACAAGTCAACAGTGAAAGGATTAAGATTAATCCTTTAAGACCTTAAAACTTGACTAAACCTTTGATTTCCAAGTTAGCTTTTTTTCAAATCTCACAAAACTTACAAATGTAAACGATTGAAGCAATTTGTATTTTAACAAAAATGTTGGCATTGTACAAGCTCAACTTGTATTATTTGTAAAGGAAATTGTCAGTTTTTTTCCTTAACCTATCATTATATCATTAAGATTGAATCACTTGGTCAGCCAAAAACGCTTATAACCATTTACAATAAAAAAGTAAAACTTGCCATTTGCAATAGCGAAATGTGTGGCGCAACGGAAATGTTTAAAATGATTTCAATAATAGCATTCGATAGTTGTGATATTGGATATCAGCTGGGAAAATCAGGCATTTTTTCTTGGTGAAATTTTCATTCCTTGTTCCTCTGCTCCAACCTACATATTAATACAGTAATAACAGTGATTCGTATCTGTATTTATTGGGTTTGTCAGTCTTTTCATCTTCTTATTCTTCTTCCTTGCCGTTCCATTCTTAAAGGTATCACGCTGTTAGTGGTTTTGTTACAGGCTTAACGCATACAAACAATTTAGGCTTGTCCATTCAGCGTAACTCAACAAAATGAACCGTGAAACGAGTAAGAAATGTTTGTCACCAGAAAGGAGAGAGATTAGCAAACATTTAGGAACCATACAACCATCAGCAAAATAAATGGTCGATAAGGATAATCGTTATTTTGGTCAGTGGAATAAAAACTCCACCGCTACGGTTAGACTGTCCAAGTCAAGTCAAGTGAATCCGGGATAATAATTCATTTACACATATCTAAACACACAGAGAAATTAACAAAAGTATGGTTAATAGCATTGAATATGTAGAAAAGATCAAGAGTGGTCCTCCCTTGATTGTTCAAGGAAAACCTTTACATTCAATATTTACCCAAGATATATTAATATATAGAGAGACACAAATCCATGAATATATTTGAATTGTATTCAATGAATGGTAAATGGCAATAGATTCTGTCAATTGAGAAAGATAATACTTATAATCAGTTAATCGATCTGCTTAGAGTCGATCAGTATGTCCATTTGTTGGCATCATTATCAATTAATTGTCAAAACATGAAAAGGCTGTTGGTGATTGTGATGATTATTGTGATGATCGTAGAGTGATGATGATTTCAAAGTTGATATGCACAAATCAAACTAAACCCAAAACATCAATAAATTATCGACAAATTGTATTGTCCTCTTGTAACTTGTTGGTGTCACCTTTTGATAATATAAATCAACATTGTTTCTTGTTGTTCCATCTAAAGTCTCTTTGTATTGTTCACCAAAAAAAGCAAGGCTCAGTACTAGTAAGTGGAGATGGAAAACTTGCCAAACTGTCCATTTTGTGTCAATTGTTTGATTCAACTGCCATTTCCATTGAGATCGATAGGTAATTTGACCTGTAAGCAAAAAAATGGAAAAGGAAATTAGATAAAATATAATAGGGAAATCGAGTTGAATCAAATCATAAAATCTTCCGATTAAAAACGATGATAGTCGCAATAGCAAAATAAAAGTCGGAGCAGAGTACATAACCGTTTTAAAGGCCTAACAAAAAAGTTTATATTAACCCGAACACATATTAAAGCAGATGAAATTATCAAATTCAATCAAAATAATATTCACAAATTATTTAGAAGAGCACTGAATTGTTACCAAAAAATCTTAAAATTTATAATCACTCAGACAATGTGCTTTTTTGAACTCTGACAGTCGAGCTAAATCCACTTCAAGTTACGTGAAATTAGCCTTTGAGGGAGATTTGTTTTTTTAGAGTTTATTTAACATAGGATTGGTTTTTGATTGTATTGATCTTCATAGTTAATTATATTTTTTATATCATTTTATATCTTTTATTTTGGTTAACTATTTTCAACATTTGATGTCATTTCTCTCATCATATAAACCTATTTACCTTGATTGAAAGTAGTTTACACTCAATCAGATTGACTAAGTGATATCTTTTTATATTATCCCAAGATTATGCGACTGTTGAGTATTTTGAATCAACCAAAATAAGATAATCTTCTTCATCTAATTGGGATAAATCTTTAAAATTCACTCCAACCAACCTTCAGCATCTTGGAAAGCTATAAAATCACCATCATAATCACTATTATCATCTATTTTTCATCATTAACAGTCATCATCATAAATACAAAAAGGCCTCATCTTTGAGTTGCTGATGAATGCCTACAGCGAAGATCATAAATTTAGTGTCAAAATCTAGTGAATCTGTTGAATCCCACTGAATTTTGACTTGATTAGTTAATTAAATAATCTTTATACAATATTAAATACAACCTTGCTCCAATAATCTGTGTTAAATGTTTGCAAAAAAGGATAGATATTGAAAGGTACATTTTACCCAATGGAAGCCCATCAATGTGTAATTAAAACCTGAACCTGACCGAGATACCTTCAGTGATATCTGATTTGTTGATTCGTTCAGTTGATAATTTCAATGACAAAAAAGCAATTAAGGTGCGAGAGTAAAATCAAATCTTTCGTCAATAAATTTTCACTGCCTTTCAGTTCATCAAAAAATACAAGAAAAGGAATGTTAAAAATTACACTTTCCTTCTCACTTCTGGAATCACAGTTTCTCAACCAAGTCACCGAATCACTTGAAACAAGATTGTTAATCAACCTTGATAATCAAGCCCAACAACAATTATCAACTGTATTTATACCTCTACCTGATTGTGTAACTTGTCCTATGGTTTTCAGTGTAACATCCATCATTAGAGTCCCATGTATCTTCAAACGTCACCCAGGATAATCTGTTAAGATAATATTTGAATTTGTTTCTGCCTTTTTTAGTTACACTTTTTCAATACTAGCTCATGTGATGAATGGTTTTCTCAACCATTTCGCATTTTAAGCCCATTTTTGAGCGCATTTATGTGAACATTCCTTTTGTCAAATCTCGACTTGTATTAGCAAAAGTAAAATAACCATTCATAAGGTAATTGATGTTAATATTTATGTAGTCAATTGACTTTTTTTTGAGCTAAATTTTTAGCTTAAATTTGCATGGATGCAAAATGAAGCTCAAGACTAATCCATGGTCAGAGAAGGTTCAATTTTAGCTTAAATAGGAGTTGCGAACTTGTAATGTTACCCAAAATAGATTATAACTTATTCGCCATTTTATTGCTAACATTGCTAACATTGTAATATCTGTTATAACGTTGAAATGTATCATCATCATGATTCTGTTGAATTTTTCATTTTTGACACTTTCTCAACTTTGTTCAACCTTTGAAAGATGATCTTTTATAAATCATACATTTTTATTTTCTTCACAAATCTAAGATTATGATGATAATCATGATCACTGTACCATGACTTTTGGACTCTTCTATGAAACTATGTATGAATCTTTTTCAGCATTCATATCTATTCATATTTATACCTCTTTTTTACTCGATATAATCACATCTTATCCCTTTATCAATATATAAATTACATGTTTTCTTATTTTTCTTTATTTTCTTCTTCTCTTTAGGTTTGGTATACAATTTGATTTGATTCAGTGAAGTTAACTTTCTCCAAACTCAATAGGATAGTGATTAATTAAGGAAAAGTCAGAATAAGCAATGATTTTAATGGATGACTTCAGTTGTTTATGGCAAATTTTCATAGGAAATTCATGGTTGCACTTCTGAAAGAGAAGACGATTAATGTAAAGACATTGAAAGACAGGCAAATGATGAAAATACATGAACATGATGATCCACAAGGAAGAGCGAGAAATAATATGAATAATAAACTGATAGAAATGTTAGTGGAACAGAATAAGGAAGAAAAGTGAATTGTAAAATAAGATGAGATTTATGATGATTGAAGTTGATTATTTACAACTTGAGTTGTTAAGGAGTTTCCCTTGTAAATCTATTACATTGAGTCTTGCCATTCTAATCAAATGTAAAACTAGTCAACTTTCTGTTACAACAGTTAGTCTGGTTAATTGTGATTACACTTTAAAATCAACTGATTTTAAAGCAACAATCAAAATTTGTCAAATCACAATCCTTAAGGGTTAGTTTAGGCTAGACAGATATGAGTAAAGACATAATTCAATTTATATTGTTATGTTATATTTGAAAAAAACGGGAAACCATTGATTCATATTAAAATGATTTACTTTGATTAATGTTAATTCCCTTACAAAAAGCTAGTCAATTTAAGTGATAATTTATTCAATTCAACAATAACTTGGTAGGTTGTTAATTTACTGTTGGATCATAACAAACTACTCTTGTTAACTTGCTAAGCAAACCTTAACCAAAAGTGTATTTTTGTTAACCATCAATATAAATCAATTTACAATTATGATGATAATTAATTGCTCTAGCAAATAAATTCAAACGATGAAGATGGAGTTTCAACAGACTTTGGTGAAAAAAGGTCTTGTTCCATGTAATCATGTTTGGAAATGTTTGTTGATCATTATTTGAAGCCTTAATAAACACTAAAGAGGTTTTTTAAGGCCAATCAACTTTAACTGTTTGAATGAAAAATTAATAACCTTATTGTGTGTTTGGAGTTTCAAAGTTTACCTAATTGGAAACAATTAATTTTTACATTTCCCATCAACTATAATCTAATGTATTTTGTTTATCTTTTGCTTTTCCCTTGATAGAACTTGTTAGCACCAGAAAACGTCGTCGTCATGGTAAACATAGACAATCGGATGAGGAAAGAGCACGAAGAAAACGACATCGCCACGACCTTAGACAACTATCCAATGGATCACAGCAATCAAATTTACTTTTGGCTAAATACAGTGGAATGGAACGGAAAAGCTTTACCGATATTCGCCGTCAATATGCTGGTCAATATGTTATTCAATTGTCATCCAACAAACGAGCGACGAGTTGTACTTTGATTTTATCTCATTTCAGCCCTCACCCATTGTTACCCATAAATGACTCGCTCTCGGTGGTTTCTTTGACTCATTCAAGTGCCACTATCCATTGGAGTCCCTCATTGAGTGAACCTGATTACTCTATCGATTATTATGTGGCCATCAATCAAGATCATAATCTTATATCCTATTGCGAGTATTTTGAACAGGTTGAAACTCTCATGAAGAATCAATCTTTAAACCATTCGTTAATCAAGTCCAATAAAAGCATTGAAATGTTTACACCATGGCCTCCAGTTTTACCCCTCATAGAGGCAACTGAGGACACTGAACTTGAAAATGAAGTCATCACTTCACCAACTACTCCTTTTACCCGTTGGTACGAACGTACAATGGCCAAAAGCTGGGAATCGGAACAGGCGAGGAAAAACTGGACTCAATACAACATTATTCGCCTTGAGCAGGCAAACAAATCAGCAAACTATCATCACACTTGGAAATATCTTAACCCATCAACTCGCTATTTTGTTGATGTGATTGCAATCAACCGAGCAACTAAAGCAACTTCACTTTACAAAGGATTAAATTTAACAACGAAAGTTCCATACAAAAAATTGTCAATTCCATCTGTAACATTGGATGTTGGTTCTAAAAAGCAAAAGCCAGATTTGATGTGGCCAAAGTTGACTAGAATTCGAGATAAACGCTTGACAACTGTGAATCTGTCCAAACAAAATAATTTCACTGAGATATTTTCTTACCGTTATAATGATAGTGATTTCAGTGTAGGTGGTAATCTTTGGCTGTTTGTTCAAATTTGCTCAACCTCTCATTCAAGCAAGGTTGATGTTACAATTAATGGTGCAGGATTAACCAATGCTGTAATGATTAGAGAGACTGGAATCAAAGGGAGTCGAGTAATCAATATACCAATGGGACTTAAATGGTATAACAGCACAATGAAAAGTTCAACGACAAAAAATAACCAACAATTGTTGATTATTTCCCTGACTGGATATGGTAAACTGTCTTTTGATGTCAATTTAATGATCAGCAAAAAACGATCCCATATTCCTGAGCCTCAACTACCTCGTGATCGAAGCATTCGTGTTCTTGATCTACTGACAACGTGTAAATCTGTCGAGTTAGCCTGGATTGCATCTCCTGATGACAAGGCTTTGTATTGTTTATATGCTGCTCCAATTACACCAGATATAACTGAAAAACAGATACATCAAGAGTTAAAAGAGTTACCAGGATATAATCTGAATTCAACTTCATCTGCTCGATGTGAATATTTGAAAAATATAAAATCAGTGAAAGGACTGAAGAGCAAAAGTAGTCTCAAAAAGTCAACAAAACCTGCAAGATTCGCTCAATTTTTGGATAAATCGCGCTATTTTAAACGTTTATATTGTAACCAGTTTCCTCGTTTAACGGACAGTCGCTTAGATCAGGTTATAATGCATACAATACATCATTTGAAGCCGTCAACGGAATACGTTTTCCTGGTCGAAATTTGGAAACCAAAGGGACTAACTGCTTACTACAATTCGATAACAACAGCAACTAAATCAACGGAAATGTGTTAACATGCGAGGCATTTTTACCATTTCTGTAAAGACATTTTCATTGAATAATTGAAATTGGAATCTTTAATTTCTCCTTTTATCTTTACAAAATTATTCAAGTATGATGGACTGTTACGTCTCGTAAAAACTATCAATGGCATTCATTTGCTTATCTTTATTGATTTGTAGCCTCATCATTCAATCTTAGATCTGAAATTTAGTATTTATGAAACTAATTGCCCAGGACATTGAGATACATGTAAAAGGAGATCAACAAGTTATTAAAATACTGAGAAACTAAGTGGAAACTTGGAATGGCCATTCAACAACAAATCATCAACATTATCTAAAACCATTCAAAAGATGGACGTCGATAGAGATTAGAGAAAGCAAAGAGAGTTAAAAGCGATCCAAGAGTCCAACTCTCCTCTCCAATAGCCTAAAGTAATGGTCAATCTTGCTAATATAGTTGTTTTTTTACCGGTGATCGTCATTTGGACAATTTTGTTTTTTTCTACTTAAAAGAACAGTTTAGGACCAAGCAACTAAAAGTAAGGCTTGCTCTTCATTTTGGATGTTTACCTGATCAAGATGAAAGACAAGATCATCTCTTCCTTGAAATTTTCATCCTTCAACTTTTCTCGTCTCAACATATTCGTGTTTTATAGATTATTATTATAATAATAATATCATTATTGACTTTTTAACGGACGCTAATTTAGCTGATAAGTAAAAAAAGAGGCTGAAACAAGCGCAACATTATTCCCTCTACTTAATGTTCCGAAGCATCAACCATTTACTGGATTACCAATTGCAGCTAATTCAAGGAATTGACATAAACTGCCAAATGATTAAAATCATTTTGCCTAATTTCAGCATTTTTCATACGTGATTATGCCAATTTTTACAGCTTTACTGCAAGTTATTACATGTTTTCCTATTGTACATCATGGTGAACTGCTAAGCGGATTTTTGTCCCTATACTTTTGCCAATTTTGGCAAATTTTATTCTCGCCTTATCTTCTGGTCCTCAACTAATCATCGTCATCTCATCATCTGATTACTTTCAATCATAACCATTGGAAATGTTCAAAATTACGAATCGCCTGATTATATACTAAACTTGAATGCTCATCTTTTTCTTATCATCACCGCCACTGACAATGGCTTCATACTGCATTGCTTTTGTATTTATTATCAAATTGTGAAAAGAAATAATAAATTGTAATGAATTGTTTAATAATCATTGAAACACTTGACCATTTCTTACCTTTAATCTAAAAATAAACTTGCGGTCAACTGGTGAAAATTGCAAAGTAATCTTAATCGGTTATAGTCAAGTTGATAAACAGGATAAAATGAATAATCCTAACACTTATCAGCAACACATTTACGGTTTATCATTAAATGATTTCCAGCATTTACGCTCATTATAACTTGCATCACCTGGAAAAGCTGTTCATTAGCTTATTGTTTAAATCAAACATAACCAAAAGATGAGCACACAAATAAAAATTCTGGTTGTTTCCGAGGGAAATAAGTCTACACTTGTTAACCATAGATTTGCTCCAATTGTATTTATCCAATAGCCTTAATCATCATAAACCGACATCTATCCATCTCTCTGGTTAATTAATCATGCCTTTTGTTTTATCATCGTCAAATTATCTTTTCTTTTCCAGTTAATCACCTACTGAACGGTTGATTACTTATTCTTATTGTTAGTTTTGTCTTCTGTGTTTACAAACTTTAACCAAACAAATTATCATCAAGGTTGGCGACAATCAGCAACATTCATCAACAGTAAAGAAGTGGCATCAGTAGTGTAACACATCGTTTCTTCGTCTTTTTTTCCTCCAGTCAGTGCTGAGGCCTTGTGGGTAAGTTAGAAAAACGCTAAAAAATAATTATGATTTATGCAAGGCTATAACAGAATGTTCAGGATAGCGGTTTCCATGATGATGTCCTTTTGTTTGGTTTGGCTGCAAGAGAGTCATAAAATGCAAGGGAAAAGGATTAGAAGACAGAATGATCATTAAGCTTTGGATTAACTTACCACTGCTTAACCATTTCAAAACAGTTAACTAATTAAATTAATAAATGTTGTCTTTTGTTATCACTATTGATGAAATATGTAAACAATACTAGGTTTTTCTGGAACATTTGGTAAAAATGGAAACAATGAACTCAGCGTCATCAACAGCCATATGTAAACCAGTCAACGGTTGCCATCCAATTGAAACAAGTGACCAAAGGAAAGTCAATTATGATCCTTCTGGAAATTATTCAACAGACACGAGTTCCATTGATTCAGGTGAATTTGTTGTTGACACTGGAATACCAATTAAATCATCAGCCAATCATGGATCTAAACTGGACAAGAAACCGCTGTTAACCAAGCTTGTAGACAACACTACTAATGTTAGTAAAGGCTCCGTATTATCAACAGGTTAGCCATAAAGTCTGTGTTGCTATGTTTCCCATTGTGATTTGTGTTTTGATGATTAACCAACATTGCCTAATTTTGCAATATCGATATGATTAGCATCTGAGATTACAAATTTTTTATCTAAATTGTTGTTTCAATCTCATCTCTTTTGTTGAAATTGGTGTTAATCACTCATTAAAAGAGTCGATTTCAATGAATATTAGCTTTTATTAGACTTTTACATTGAAACAGTTAAATCATTGAGTAAAGTTTTCTCGACTGTTTTACAACATAATTATTAATCAAACCATTGATTAGACTACAGTAATCAAACCTTGCAATTTAACTGTTAAAATCTGACTGTTATTGTGAAAATACAATTAGCTGAAACCGCACTTGATGCATAACAACTTCCATTTCTATTCATTTCTCATTATTTTAATCCATCAAAGCATGAACCATGTTACCACAGCTTTGAATTAATGCTTTTAAACAGCAATCATTTTCACTGTTGTGTGTGTTGTTGATTGACCAAATCACTAGACAAACCATCACTTAATTTTCAACTCTATCCAAGGAAAATTCTGTTGATCAACTGTTTATACCCAAAATCATTCACTTTTCAACCAATTTTCACCACAATGTACTTAACAACAGGTCGTCATTTACTTGATGGATCAGCTTTCTCACATCGAAGTATCGTAAATTTATATTCAGAATACAAACAAACCAACGACAGAACAGTGTTTCATAGACTTTCATTTGTCTCAGTCATTGTGGCTTCAGGTAAGATAATGTTTCCCTATCAATCATTTCACATTCAATTTAATTTATTTCAATTTTTCATTTTTTTACAGTTCTATGGATCAGCTGCTGGTGTGGAGTATTATTTCTGCCTCTAGCAATGATAGTCTTTGGTAATAAGCAAATTTTTGATTGTCAATCCTTACGGACAACTTACTCAATATCAAATCTTCTATTGCCATTTAGGAATCATATATCGTGATGACTGCCCGAGTATACCTGAATTGCCTGGTTTATTGATCTTTATGGGAGCTGTGACAACAATCAATAATATTGTTAACGTTCTGGATCATATTCGTAATTTATATATTAATGAGAATAGTCAAGCTGAAAGTAATTCAAGTGGTTCATCTCGTTTATCGACTTTCAGCTTTTTCCTAAATTTTGTAACCCTCATTCTGGTTATTTACCTTGCTGTGATTGTATTTAAACATCCATCAACAACAGATGATGACAAAAGTAATCATTTCTGCTCACCAGTTATCTACAATTTTGCCTCATGGATAATTTATTTGCTTGGACTTCTATGCCTTTTCATTTTCGTTGCCATTTTCTTGGGCTGTTGTTATATCCTATGGAAACCCTCTCGATGTGGATCTTGATTTTCTCATTATTGATCATCAACTCTGTAAATTCAACCTCACAACTTGCTCACCATGATTTCAATTCAATTTTTCATCGTGCAAATAATCCATGGAGAGAAAATTCAAGAATGATGAGAATTTATTGATACTCATAATCATTCATCTCTTTTACTTATACATTGTACATTGAGTTAACTTTTGTTTTCTGGTTTTCAACATTTGCTTTGGTAAGTCAATCATTCAAATCAAATTTTTAATTATTTATAATGTTATTGCAAATTCTCAGTATACTCAATATCAATCCGATTAATTGTTAATAAATTATGTTGAATAACCGAAAAATAATACATGCTTTCATAATGTTGTATAAGATTTATGAGACCGTGTCAATTGATTGATCACAGCATTGATTGTTATTAATATTACTAATTCACAACTGCAGAAAGTTGATACAGCTGGCAATTAATTTCATCGGCAGAAAACATTGCTGTGGGTGATTAATTAAACCTAATCAAATGATGGCAGTATAAATGTTTTCAAAGAGCTCTTTCATTTGGCTAGTTGACTACAAAATCAAATTGTTAGATTGTTCAGACTTTTAGTGAAGTATTTGTTTATTGAATTAAAAATTACATAAAAAATGAATGATTGGTATGAAAAAAGTTACATAAATGTAAGTTGTTATCGAAGCGAGAATTGATTTATTCAGTTGAATCTTTTGAACAGTTGTTATCCATCCATTTCTTGATCAACAGATTTCCTAATTTCAATCAAAATGAAATATAGAGAATTAGAAAAGCTGTTCAAAATTAAAAGTAAGTGAAATGTCGTCTCGTCCATTAAAACTAAATCAGACTTCAAATGTCTAACCTTAATTTTATTGGAAATCTGATTTTGTTTTCATCATTGAAATTTTACCTTTTTAATTGTATTCTTATTTACCTACCAATTAGTTCAAAACTGGTACATTTTGCTCGTAACTTTGCTCAAAGCTTTCTGGTCCTGAACGTTTGGATTTGTAAAAAAGCTGGCCATTGCTATAATGAGGATGGACATTGTAAGTTGGTAATGAATCACCTCCAAAGTGACCAGCTGAGGTTATTGGAACTGGATAGTTGTAAACATATTGCCATGGAGGTTCAAAAAATTTTCGTTGATCTGGAAATCCTAGTTGAGAGGGTGATGAGGCAGAAGTGGCTGCAGATGAAAAGGATGAAGAGGAGCTTGGATAGGCGGAGACGGGATCAATTGAAGATACAAAATATCCTGATGATGATAAAGGATTATTTGATGCGTATTGATTTCTATTGTCTACGATTGTTGTTGGCACTAAGGTTTCACCGGCAACACCAACTTGTTGGTCTTGCTGTTGAGATTGACCTTTGACAGGTTGATCTGCTGCTGAGTTTACATTGGAGGATCCAACTGTGACTGAAGGTGAAGCTGATTCGGGATTGGATGTTACTTTGACTCCATTGTCTTCAAAGGAATAATAAGGAGGAGAGATTGATTGTTGGGGAAATTTTGTGTCAACCGTAACTGTTGCTGGTGACTCTACATGCGTCTTGGAGGGAACAGTTGAAGGTGAAGAATGGGACAAAGAAGGGGGAGCGGGAGAAGAAGGTGAAAGAGGTGCTGGTAGTGTGGAGGGTACAAGAGAAGGAGAGGAAGAAGAAACAGAGACTGACGCTGGTGATTGCACTGGATAGCTTCCAGCTACTACTGAAAAACCGTATGGGCTCCATGAGGGTACTTGAGGTGGTGCATGGAGATTAGATTCGGGTTTGATTGGTTTATTGGTCTCTTGCTGGGAACCAGCATCGACTGAAGGAGATTGAGCAGCAATTGGATCCTGAAGTTTAGGAGAAAATGATGGATCTTGAACCAAATTAGGGTTGACAGGAGCACCATTCACAGTTGTTTCACCTGACTGGGATGAGCCTGATGAGCCTGATGTTGCTGATTGTGACACAAATGAAGGTGGGGAAGCTACTGGATAAGCATGGCTTTGGGTGTGGGTGGTTGGTACAGATACAACTCTAGTAACCTGGTGAGAGGCTGGAGCAAAATATTCATACTTCTTGGTTAATTGTGGGGAAGAAGGGAAGCTCTGTGGAGAGTGTGGTTGGAATGGAAATGGACTGAATTGTCCAAAAGATTGTGAGAACACATTGGATTGAACGGAATGATCCTGGCGATTACCGTCCGAGGTGTGGACGTTTGGATTTTTGAATGCTGACGAGTGGTAAATTGGGTATTGACTGGAAAAGGCAAAGTTTGGTGGACTTTTTTGACCAAATACTGAATCAAAGAATCCAAATGGTTGACCAGGATAACGAGAATAATCTGGGACTACTTGGTCTGCAGTCTCTCCAACAACTTGAGATGAAACAGAAGAAGAAGACGAAGACGCGACCACAGCAGGAGAATGACCTACGGATGACGAGTGGACCGATGATTGGAATGATTGATTAGGGAATGGGACTTGTTCCGGCCTGGGGCCAACACCTAAGGAAGCTGGTTGTAAAACTGGATAATTGGGAAAAATTGACGATCCAAAGCTACTAGACTGTACATTTTTTACAAAAGGACCCTGACCTGAAGCGAAAAAATATCGAAAAATTTACATTACAAATATAATCAACTAAACTGTTGACTGTAATTGCAGATATTTACCTGGATTTGCGTACCATGGGCCGGCTGAGGTCTGTGTTGGTGCTACAGGTTGAACATTATTACCTTTATGAGGTATAACAAGGTATTCTCGTCCCTTAATCGTTATCACAGTTGGAAATTGATCTTCAGTGTAAACATGTTGAGGAATCGTTTTATCACTTGGTTTAAGGTTTGACTGATCTGGTAAGACTGCACCACCTAAAGATCCTTTAATATCTACCGCTGACGATGTTGGCGATGAAACTTTATCAGAATCCTTGGTGGGCGATGAAACAGTTGGTGATTTGTTATCATTTGTAACCGATGGTTGGACTGGTTTATCACTTTCAGCAAGTCGACGTTTACCTGTTAAAACTGGTGGTAAAATATCCTTGTATACATCAGCATTAGAGTCTCTGGTTTTGTTGAAAATTCAGGAAATAGAACAAAATTGTGAGTTAAATTTAAAACAAAACTGATGACAAATAACAGACTGTCAACTGTATCGGTTGAAAAGAGACGACAGACAAAAAAAGACAGAAAAATGATAATTGGTTGCTCAACTTACTCTGGTTGTTTTGGTGCTTCAGGAGCTAAAGCAACTGAATCTTCCTTTTTTTGTTCAATAACGTCAGAAGCATCATTTGTTGAATATAATTTTTTATTATCACCAGGATTCAATGCCCAATCAACTTTCTGTTTATTATCACCTCCTACAAAAATACCAGTCCTGGTTCCGGATGAAGGCGAAACATCACCACCACCTACTGATGGCGAGGATTCAATGCGAGCTCCCCAGACTAATGGTGTTTCTAGTGGACCGACAACCGGTGAGACTTCTCTCTTCGAGAATGAGGAATCAACTTCTATCAGAAAAGAATGGAATGAACAGAAAAGCAAAAAATAAGGAAAAAAAGGTTAATTAATTGAACCAGAATTGATTAAAAAATGGCCAACCAAGAGAATGTCAATTGTAACAACAATTTTAATCAACTGTAATGGCTGTTAAGTTTGGTAAAGATGATGAAATGTAAAAAGTATATTCTACCTGAGGATTCATCAAAATTGTATTTGATTGGACCGTCAACATGAGTTGATTCAACATCATCATTTATTCGAGTTGACCAGTCACTTGAATCGCTGGACACAGGATTCGTTGATGACAAACCAATGGAAAGTAAAATAACCAGCGATGCTGTGGTTATCTGTAGAGGATAACAAATTCAACAAAAAGTCATTTTAATCATCAAAGCAATCAAAAATGGTAACAAATATAAAAGGAGACTTTCATCAACAATCAAAGGAATTGTCGAAGTTATTAGGACAAGCAGAGGGATTAATCAGAATAAAAGGATTTGCCTAAAAGGATGAACATTAATGAATAGATTGTTTGTGTGGATCTGTCAATTGCTTACAGTTTGTCTGAACATGGTAATTATTTAATTCTCTCCGGCCGGTTGACACAATTTAAAATCAACTCTCACAGTGAAAATGAAAGTTTTCAAGAAATCCTTTTTAACGATGTTTCTCTGGATCCTTTTCACTCTCCTTTCCTTCATTTACTCACTTTCACCTTCTCTCTCTTTCTCTCTTCCAACCCAGTGGGCCAATCCTGATTTCTGAGGCAACTTTTCATTGGGAGATAGATACATATTCAAAGATGAAATGAGCAACAAAAAAGTTGGAAAAATGAAGAAGAAGAAGAAAGAAAAGAAAGAGAGAAAAAAGTTTGCCAAAATGTTATCTGGTTGAGTCTAAGGACCAAAACAGGTTACCAGGCGGAATGGGAATCCAAGGAGAAAGAAAGAGGTTCAACCCGAAAATTAAATTGGCCTAGACCATTGGATAATCATTTTTTTAGTTATGCCAAGAAGTTTCATTCTCATCAAATTATGCCTCAGGTGACCTAGGAAATCTTCACTCTTTCTTCTTCTTCTCAACATGTAAACATATTTACTCATTTAACTACTTTCTCTCCACTTATTATTTTTATCATCATCATCATGGTCATCATCATTAACTTTATCATCTTTACTTTTACCGTCTATTACGCTTCTAGTCTTTTATATAATCAAGTTATATCATCAGATTCACAATCGAGTATTTTGGTCAATAAGAAGCATGTTTCAATTAAACGATCAAGTTGATTCAGTAATATTAACTCAATGTATCCTATTTAGTCTTTCAGTTTGCTTAAAGTTAAAAGCTCAGCATGAAAAGGTAAATATGAAATCATATTGATCAAAGATCCAGGTGATCCATCATTTCATTTGACTGTTGCTTTTTAAACATTTTGACGCCAATCTTTTCAATTAATAAGGGTTAAAAAGCTTTTGAAATGTATTATCTAAATTAATTTTATGATTAGATTGTATTAAGTTATCTCATCGTTTGTACTTTCATTAATCATCGCAAGTGACCCAATCTTTTGGCTCATGATGGTGGATGATTAATTCGTGTGCCATCTTATTTATTCAGCGACTGATATTGACTTAAAAGTCAAACGGGTTAATCAAAAAATCTTAATATCTTTATTTCAATCAAATTAGCTCGATCAATCAATCAGCTTAACTGTCTTCATTGATACTTGAAAGGATATTTTTTCATGAATTGGTTGGCCAAAATTTAGTCAGATCTCACCATTGATTGTAATTAACCCTCTTATTAGTGGGAGGCAATTAAAACCTAGAGAACGTTCACTTAATAATTACAGTACAAACTACTCAATTATATGCATTATTCCCTGCCCGAAGGTGAAATCTATTCATTTGCAAAAAAACATTTTAATCACAGCATTTTATTAATGTTACTAGGTGAACCTTTTCTCAGCTTGAAAAAGAGTTGAAACAACATTTGTAACCAATTTGATAGTTGTGATAGTAATGGTATATAATGACTAGGATAATGATAATTAATAAATATGTTTCTTTCCAGTATTACCAGAAAAACAGAAAGCATTTATCCAAGATGGGAAATTATTCATCATCATAAAGACTATCCTTTGTGAGTTTGAAAAATTATTGAAAATTTGGATGTAAGGGATGAGATGTAAAGTCAGATGAAAGGCAAGAAAACTCATCAACCCTAAGGCTATATTGATATTCCAGAGAAACTTGTTGAACAAAAATAAAGGCTGAAAAATTGAGAAAAGCCTGTGATTGAAACCATAATCTGGTTTTGGTAACTATTTATGGCCTCTTTCGATGAGTTTTGTTTCTCCTTCTTTCCTTTTTACTGGTGGAATCTATCTTGATAGAATATCTGCTCAAATTATCCTGGAACCAGAATTTAAATGGTCTAATAAAATGAACACAGAAACTTATTTCCAAACGATTCTCTTATCCGCCAAACCAAACTTTGATTAGGTAACTTCGATGATAGCTGTCAGTTTATTTCTTTCAAATTCAACTGTTCCTTCAAATAAAATAAATTATTCACGATTGCCTGTTACACTAGAAGAGCGGAATAATTGAATTAGAGATGATTATACGTCTTGGAACGAAAAAGAATGATACAAAAGGGATTTCCCGAATTCGCTAGCCATTTAGAAATAGCAGCCCACATCAACACGTGGTTTAGAAACTTCGAGTTGGTTTCTTCGATTGAAAGACATCGTCATGGAACCTTACCTTACAGCGCTGAAGATTGAAACAATTAAAAAGGGTTTACTCAAAGTTCAAGTCATTTCTTGGGGAAGTTTTGATCATCCAGAGATATAACATTTGATATGCTTTTAACTCTGTTGAATGTACAGGTTAATGAAACCAGTTTGAGCAAATTAATTATGAGCTACTTTCTCCATTACAGTGTAAATGTCCTCTGTCAAAGATGCTCATGAACCTGCTCAGGTGAGCATTAACTTGCTAAAAGCGTGAGATGGTAAGAACATTTTTCTGTGAGATTAATTAGTTCTTTCTCTCAATTTAGAAGATTCTTGACTTCTAATCTCTTCAATAGTGGATTTTTCATTTTTGATAAAAGTCTGATAGAGTTAGCTGATTAACCAAACAAAGAAAACTGAGAAGCTGGAAAAAGTTCATCATTTCAGAACAGGAAAGTCTCCCACCAGTTGGAAATCCAAAGCAATCTAAAAATTAGAAAAAAAAGAAAAGGAAAAAATTAGTTAAAATACCATCCGTGAGAAGCATACTCAAGAAAAAAACATCCATGTACATTTGAAACTCTCGACTCAACGATCTCAGCCTCATTAAATCAGTTCACAATTTGCGATCATGGTAATCACGCAAAAATTAGGTATCATCATAGAATCAAGACTCAAGTGTTTCAAGAATGTAAAGAGAAAAATTCAATAGCAAAATCAAACTTACTTTTAATATTATCCTTCAAATATTAATGGTTCATATTTGGACAACTGGTAGGGAGAGAGGTAATGAGAAAGGTTAAAGGTTTCAAGCAGCTACACTTGATGAAATTTCCACATATTAAACCTCGATCATCTAAATAATAGATTGATTATCGTGTTAGTTTGAACGCCATTCGTTTAAATAGAAAACAAATTCATGCCTTGCTATTTCCGGAAAATCACCAAGGAGACACCCAAGCTCCTTCCATATTAAGCAGTACCGCGAAAATTTAAAACATTGTTTGTGTTGATTTATAACACAATTTAATGTATCTTGAGTAAATTCAAAATATTAGAAATCTAATTCAATATTTTAGTCCATCAATTTGGAAAGTCTGGAGACGCTCTAATTTTTAAAGGAATATCTTTGGATACTGATGACTTGTGTCCATGTCCATTTCCTTAGGCTTGACTTCTGCCATTCAGAAAAGTAATGTCCTGTGGCAAGGATTTGGTTAATTAATATAATTTAATGATGTTTCATTTAACGGTGAAAGATCGGATCATTTAATCACGCCACGGAACTCATAGAACATTCAAATGTCAAGATATAAAATAGCTTCAATTAAAAATCAAAAGGTAAAAATTGTAACACTTACTTGTAACAGATATCGGAAATTTTTGGGTTAGAGGAACATTCGGGTTTATAAGCTGTGAAATTTCCATGAAACCTAATTTCTGCAAAATAACCATTAAAATCCTTCAATTACTTACATTTTGATATGAAATTTAGAGACGGATAGCAGATGTTGATTTCAGATTCTATTTCCTCTCATCATTAAAACAATAATCTGATTGAAAGGCAAGTTTCTAAATGATTTAAAATAGACTAACTCAATAGATTAGACTCAAATCGATTAAATGATTTACGCATTTACTCGAATACAATAACTAGCAATCATGTGTGATTGATCATAAGATTGGATCACCATGAAATATAAACAATGAAGTAAAGCTTTAAACTTGATTCCCGTTGAACCAGATTGATCTGAAAACAGATCTGGACTATCAAGTGAATTGAAGTCAATGAAACACAGAGGGTAAAAATTCAAATATTTAATTTGATTAAAATAATAAGAACTAAAAAGTGTACATAAAGTAATTACATTACACTGCAACGGTCACTATTTGATGAATTTTGTTTACTTGGTGACCCATCAACGATAGCATCAGCACTAATCTTGGTGACAATATTTGAATCTTGATTGTTGTTTACATCAAAGTTGCCTTCTTCAACGGTCTCATCATCGCTAGAGTCCATTGTATCGACCATCAGTGACATACGATCCGATTTGTTCAGCTGTTTAAGCTTTTTGTCTGACAATTTGTCCTTTCGTTTATTTTTCTTGACTTTGGTTTTGGCTGGGTCCTTTGATTTAACTTTTACAATTGAGATAATGTTGGAAACCAAACTTGGTTGATTTGATTGAGTGTCAATCATTTTTCACTGTTCAATAAGATGATGATTGTCACAAAATTAATAAAATGAGGTAGAAACAAAATTAAATATTAAATGATGGTAACTTGAGCAATGTGAGACGGTAATGGATGGGTTACACTTGACAGAGAGCATTTATAACAGAGACTTTTGTTAAATAGCTGAGGTTCATTTTGATAAAACCAAGTCTTGGCCAATTGGTTTAATGGGTGGAAAAGATTTATAATGATTAGCCAGTTAATCAGATTTTTGATAAACTTAACTGAAATAATTAACAATAACGACTAACCTTATCAAAGTAAAAGATTAGTACATATGAGTTCTTTACAGGTGACAAGACTTGAATCTAAGCATATGAACAGGTTAAGGGTGATTTGATAAGAAAAGGAAAATGATCAGATTGGAGAGAAAGTAATTACTAATTAGTAAAGAGAAGTTCTTACTATCAGTTTTCAAAATAATCAAACAAGATAACAAAATATCAAACTGAACGTAGTTCTTATTGGTTTGATAATAACAATTTATTTTTGATGGTTTGATAACAAAAATAACCTTTTTATACATTTTGTAGTTACACTTTATTGGTACATTCATTGATTAATATTGATATAACATGCAAACGCATGTACAATTATAAATTGATTGCATGTACTTAGTTTGATCAATGATTACAATGTAAAGTTATATATAAATATAAATTGATTAATCGGTTTCAGTCTCTCCATTTAGATAGTAATTTGAGGGTGTACTGGTTCTCATTTAGAGATGAAATGTCATCACCCAATAGATTTACATGTTTATCGACCAGACTTTTAAAAGCTTCTGACTCATTACTATCATCGCCAGAATCATTTTTATTAGATTGAGTTGAATGAAACCTGGGGTCAGGAAGAGGCATAATCAATTCTGGTTCCTCTGGTATAACAATTTTATCTCGATTCAAGTGTTTTCCTTTGGATTTCAAAGCTTTTTCTCCCATTTGTTTTGTGGTAAGCTTTGAAAAGGCTCTTTCCAATAAAGAATGGACCTCAGCATCTACCATTGAATTTCCAGCGCAACAATTTCGTCTCCAAGTAAATCTCTGATCTGGATCAATTGATTCCTTGGGGAAAAAATCTTGAACCCAGAAATCACCAGCAGAAGTGACTTGACAAATAGAGTATCCGATATCGTCAGGTTGGACGAATAAACCTGTTAGTTGGATATTTTTAAGTTTCTGTAAAATAGATCCATCAACGTTTGGTGAAAAATGCCAACAATCTTCAGGTTGTGATAGGTGTAGAGGAAAATGGAGAGATTGAGGTTGAGTTATGTTTATGTCGAAATGGCTGACAGTAATTAAACATGCTTGATTTTTATTGGCTAAGGTGATTATGGACCCAACACTTTCAATTGAGGTAGAAGACAGAAATCTTAAGCTATTGGTTGAATCACAAGGCAGCATATGGTTCCATTGAAGTAAATTATTTTTTGGGAATCTGCTATCAACTAGAATTAACTTGTGATCTGATGATAGCAAGAACTGAGTATCAGTGATTGACAATTGACAGGCACCTCGGAATCTTTCCCATTCTCGAACAAAGTTTAAATTTTTAACATTCATAATATTTTTCATTGATTTGGCACCTCTATCACGAGTATCAAGTATTAGAAAATTATCCAGCTCACAATAGGCCAAGAGTTTAGGGTGATTTTTAAGCCAAAATAAATTAACAGGATGTTTCCACGATACTTGATTATTACCATTCGACCTTGTAGGTTTACAGGTCCAATAAAATTTTTCAGTTTCTAAATCATAATCTTTGACAGATGCACACCCATTATCTTTGGTAAAACCGACAGCAACGGAATGTTCAAGTAGATAGGATTTCGATATCTTCCAAAATCTTTCGCATTTATCATATGATTTGGATACAAAAGGCTTGAAAATTAATGGCTCAGGACTTAGAACGAACTTTCCATCATTTTCGCTTATTTTTATCACAGAAATAGATTTTTCTTGTCTAACCAAGGAGATTGGGTCAGATCTTTGGTGGCAAAAAGATGGAGAAATCTCGCAAATCGGCCCTCCATCCAGAGAAAGTAAGCATTCAGATTCTTGAGATGAAACAGATTCAATGCATGTTTTGTAAATATGATCAGGATCTCGTTCCAAATTATTAAAGGTTATCCTATTTCTTATGGGATCAGCATAGAAAAAATAACCAAATTTATCATCATATTGAAGACTATTGCTATAAAGCTGAGTAAAATTAAATTTAGTCGATTCTTGATATCTTTCTTGATCTGGAACAATGAGAGGCAAGGTAAAACATCTTGGATAGAAAGGTGAACTCACTATAGAATCTTGTTTGAGCTTGTAGCCTTTTACGTTATATTTATCAGGCCTGTGAACATATATCCCTGATCCTCCAGCGTCAAGGTAATCATGTTCATTTATGGTTTTAGTTCGGTGGCTGCTCAAAGGTACTTTGTAAACTGTAGATGAATGATAGTTGGCTAAAGTGATGGGTAAGTCTGGTATAAAATCAGCTAAATCCATCACTTGTTCTGTCCAATGTGTAAATATTATGAACCAAACATAGTTTATAACAATAAGGAGCACAATTAAATTGAGAGAATGTAGTAACACGATGCATATCAGATTGATTAAGTATATTAACTTAATTAGCGCAGGGTAAAAAACAGATGCAGACAAACACTACATAGAACAAGAGCTCATAAGCAAAAACATGATCAATTCCTTCTTCTGGTACAAATATCAATAAAAAACTGTTTAAATTAGTAAGAAATAGTACAAATAGAAAAAAATTAATAAAATTAGAACACAATTAAGCGAAGGAATCAACAAAAATAAAGTGTAACTTTCAAAAACAATGTGACTTCAATGAGGCTCAAGATTTTAGTAAACACATGTGTTAGCTCCAGTAAGAGGAGGGAAAATATTACTTTTGATTATTCTGAAGTTATACCAGTTCTGAGTTTTCTAATTTTTATAATTTGGATTTACATCTAAATTTTTGCCAAAAATTGTAAAAAGCCAAGTTCAAATTTTTTAATTAAACATGTTCGCTGAAATTATGAATCCTTACCATTAGTTATGAAGGAATAATGGTAAACTGAAATTCAAGCAAAGGTTGCATTGTCATGATGAGAAGAAAAGATTATCATCGTTGGAGATTGGCTGAAACTTACTGTTAACTCACTGATGATGGCCAGACCATTATTGTTTTCATCTTTACAGATAAAAGTCACAAATTAAAACCTCTAATGATGATTGTCTTGATTTTTTTCCTTGTTTCTCTATTTTTACCAGGTAAGAAATGTTGATCATCTATAAATTTTTAGTTTTATTTTATTTTTAACGTTTAACCTTTTGTGCTCAACAGAAATCTATTCAATTCGTTGTTATCAGTGTGAATACCGAAGATGTCCAACTTTATCAAATTGTCGTGAAGTCCGTGATATCTGTACGATCAATAATTTCCAGCGATGGGATGTTAGACAGATTGAATGTCCAGGTCCATGTGAGACTCATCTAGTTACAGATCCTAATGGTAAGTTTACCTCAACATTCATTTAGATTAATTTGTATTCTTTATCAATTCACAATCTATCTCTATCTATTAATTTCAGGTAAAGTAATCCGTTGGCACCGAGGCTGCTCATCTCAGCCAATGCCAACTCGTGGATCATCTGTTAACATTTGCGAGACAGTTTACCGAATTGGAATAAAGGAAGACATTTGTACGTGTTCTGGTGATTTGTGTAATTCATCCTCAACTCTAAAATTGCCATTGACTGTTATAGCGTTAGTCCAAATTATACGATACTTATTGACCTAACATTAAGTCAGCATCGACCCAATCTACTAGCAGGATAGGATTTTTTAATAATAGCTGTCATTCTGAATTATTATAGAATGTATTTTGTATTTTGTATCTGAACCCAAAAATGAAAAAATAAACAAGTTACATTGAATCTCTTCCAGACGAAATTTTGACCCGAAATAGTTCAACATATTGGATTGATTCATAATACAGGATAATGCACAAGGAAGTTGATTGTGGCTACCAGAAAAGCCAATGAGTTGGCAACTTGCTCTCAAATCATACCAAAAAAATCATAGGAAATGTTAAGTCATGTTGTGGTGACTTTTTATAAGCGTTTTATGAATGCAAAGAAATTGGTTTTTGATTAATAATCATGAAAACAACTGATGACTCAGTTCTAGTGAGCAATCAAGCCAACAAAAAAAACCATCTGAAAATATACATTTTGTGTAATCATTGCGTTCGAAATAGTTTTTATTTTCAAATAAAATTTGCCAATGAATGATGGAGTTGATTAAATCATGGTGTATTTTACTAATACAAACAATTATCTCTCAGATTGATTTGGGTAAGTCTTTATTTTAAGTACATTTTTCACTCTAAACTGGTAAACTGGTAAATAAACCTGAAACCTTGTTGACCTTTTCACTTTATACAGCTGACGCGATCAAGTGTTTTACATGTGATTTTACAATCAATAGGTGTACAGATCTTAATTGTTACAATAGTCCAGATAGTTGTAGTCCAAGATTTTTTACTGCTGCCGTTGTTCCGTACCGAGAGTGTCCTGCAGGCTGTGAACTATTCTCAATGACAGATGCAAATGGTAAGTTGAAAATCAAAAATGAATTTAGATACACATTTATGTTGTATTTTTGATCACATTTCATCGTTTTTTGGTTAGGACTTGTTTTACAATGGAGTCGAGGATGCGATCAATCAGGATCGACTGCTGGAGCCGCAATAGATTTCACCAGTACATGTAAAACGGAATATATATTTGGAACTCGAATGGATAAATGTTTTTGTAACCAGGATTTTTGCAACTCTTCTGGTAACATCAAACCTGGATTAATTTTAATGTTAATTTTAGCCATTTTTAATTTGATCTCCAGATGAATTTTAATTTTTCTAGATAATTTGTCTAGATTATAGATTCTATGTTTGTTATTCACCCAAAACTATCATGTTTTATCAAATATAATTTCCATTTTTGCTTAAAGGATGAAAAAGATAAGTTAATGGCGAAGCATATGAAGAGTGAATTGTATAACAATTAGCTCATTTTGGATCTGAAATTTGTCAATGTCATGGTTGAACTATTTTGTAGTTTTTGTTACACATTAAAACAGTTATTTCAATTGTCGTTACGCTTATTCACACTGTATTTTCTCCTCTAAATGTGTAGATGTTGAGGGTTAGTAGAGTTTCATGATTTTAAGGATAACAATTTACGATTCATTTAAGAAAAGACTGTATAATCCCTTCAAATAAACAATTAAAAGACCAATTAACTTAGCTTTAAACTTTTATGGATAAAAATTGGATTAATAAACAAATTAAATCACAGTTTTAATTTAAAATACATTTTTGTATTTCTTTGCATCACAACAGAAATTCTGATTTCCCGCTCATTAGAGATTAACACAGTTGCCAATAGGTGTTGAAGTGTTTTCATTTTGAGCAATTTTCCTTACAAAGTTGTTTATAATTCTTCACCAATTTTATTGTTAATTATCTAATCTGGGTTTTATCCAGTTAATCACTCACCAGTGTTATAATTATTTCAGCAACGCCGTTGTCTTCTTAGAATACAGACTTCGTTATATTAGTTTCCCAGGAAATTGGTTTGTTTTGATTGTAACTTAACTGTAATTTGAATAATGGAATCATGTAAGTATCAGATTTTTTATATTCCTTGTTGCTTTGTCAATCAGATAAGGTCAAATTTAATCAATCATCATGCTTCTACAAGGTGACTTAGGGATTGACTGGTTAACTATGTTCTAATCAAATTTTTGTGTTATTCATTCGCTTGGCTTTCTTTTCTCCATATTTTTAGTCAAGGATCCTGGACAAATATTCGCTTATGGTGCTGCTTTTGCTTCACTGGCTTATGCTCTTTACACGAAATGGCAAGTTTGTTCATTGAGTGCCAAGATCAATCATACTATTCAGAAGGATAATGCCAAAGTTGTACATTCATTCGACATGGAAGATTTGGGAAACAATGAGACTTTCTGTCGATGCTGGAAATCCAAGAAATTTCCTTACTGTGATGGAGCCCATAATAAACACAACAAAGAAACTGGTGATAATATCGGCCCATTGATTATCAAGCAAAAAGCAGCTTAAAAATGAAATGGGAATCAAATATTATACAAGCAATATTACTAAAGGATAGATTATCAACTTTCCAATATTAGCCTTTACTTTTTCTCGTTTTTTAATTTAACCTCTCAACGTGTTAAAGATGATAATTATGTAAACCCATATAGAAATAGTTTGAAATGAATCTTTTGAAATTCGATATTCATTAAAAAAATGCCAACGATAATGGCCTAAACAATCACGTTAAATATACGTATTTATTTCTTGAATTCGGTGCTTTGAGCTCTTAGAGAAAAGGCCAGCAGTAAAACTCTATTTTTTGTAAAATGTCACTAAAACGGTTCATTATATTAGCTAATTGATCAATCAATTAATTTTAAGATACCTAAACCTAAAATCCCTCAGAAATTTTTCAATGGTTTTCGTATCAAGCAATCAATCACTTGTTATTTCATAAAAAAACATTCATTATGGCTTCAATCTCTCCATACATGTATATGTTTACTCACCAATGAATTAGTTAATCTCGAGAAAAGCCTTTCCATTCCAAAAGTCCATTCTAGTGATTCAAATATTCATTAAGATCAGCTAATATTTGCCAACTTACGATCTAAGTTCGGTATAACTTATTCTAGAACTGTAGTTTCTACCCAATAATTGGTTCTTCATGACTTGCTCCGTTAAGTTTGAATTGTGTCATGAGTAAAGACCAAATCTTTAGACTATGGTTTTGCTTCAACCATCATGTCATTAGTTCAATATGTGGAATTAAATCTTTAAAATCGGGCAAAAATAACCTAATTAGTGATCGAATTGTGTTTATAATTGAAGTTGGACTGCCTAATATAGCAGAAGTGGAGAAACACCAGCAATCATAATGTTTCTATCAGCGCTATTTAATGTGGACAATGGCTATTTGGAAGGCTTACTTCGTGGATTTAAATGCGGTATATTGAAGCAATCTGATTATATTAATTTGGTTCAATGTGACTCCTTAGATGGTAAGTAAATAGCAGTTATTGCTATTACATTAGCTATTAACATTCATAATTATTTTGTTTGTTATTAGATCTTAAGATTCATTTACAAAGCACTGATTATGGCAACTTTTTAGCCAATGAACCATCACCTTTGGCTGTTTCGGTGATTGAGGATAAATTGAGGGAAAAATTGGTCACTGAATTTCACCATATTCGCAATCAAGCTGTTGAACCTTTGGCAACATTCCTTGATTATATCACTTATTCCTACATGATTGATAATATAATTCTTTTAATTACTGGAACACTCCATCAGCGACCAATTCCTGAATTGATTGATAAATGCCATCCTCTTGGACGCTTCGATCAAATGGAGGCAATCAATGTGGCAACTACTCCTGCTGATCTATACAATGCGATTCTTGTTGACACACCATTGGCTCCATTTTTCGTCGATTGTCTCTCCGAACAAGATATGGATGAAATGAACATTGAAATTATCCGAAATACACTATACAAAGCATATCTTGAAAGCTTCTACAAATTTTGTCAGGATGAGATTGGAGGTACAACTGGGGAAGTTATGTGTGAGATTTTGGGTAAGAATAAATCTAGTTTTTTAAATTATAAATGCTAAATGTAATAATTGATTCTCTTTTTGTTTTGATTTTATTGTAGCATTTGAAGCTGATAGACGAGCTTTCATTATAACCATAAATTCATTTGGAACTGAGTTAAGTAGGGAAGATCGAACCAAATTGTATCCTCGATGTGGTAAACTAAATCCTGATGGTTTAGCAGCTTTGGGCAGATGTGATGATTATGATCAGGTCCATGCGGTTGCTGACTTTTATTCAGATTATCGATCAATATTTGAATCAGGAGGGGGACAAGGAGATGTTGATGAGAAGACATTGGAAGACAAGTTCTTTGAATATGAAGTTAAACTAAATGTTAATGCATTTATGTTACAATTTCATTTTGGTGTCTTCTATGCTTACCTGAAACTGAAGGAACAAGAATGCCGGAATATTATTTGGATCTCTGAGTGTATCGCCCAACGGATTCATACAATTAAACGCGAACATTACATTCCAATATTTTAAGAAGTAAAATACAATCAAATATTCGCCCTCTTGTGTTTTGGACTGTTTGTTGTTTCAATTAATCATTTATCGAGATTCTGCAGGTTCCTTTAAAGTCTGTTGTCTACAGCATTGATTGTATATTAATATCTGTTTTAACTTGTCTTCAAATAAATGATGTTATTAGGTTTAAGTTAATGGTTCTCAATTCATATATCGAGACATTCATCATCAATATACTATTATTATTAACTCAATTCATAAGAGCATTTGCCAAATTTAGTTAATATCTATTCTAAAAAGGCACAACTCTCAATAGTAACATTGACACAATTGACAAAAATTAGCCAAAACGAGCAAAAATCAATTTATTTCGAATCGACACAAATGGGTGAATGCCGATGAAAATGAGATTCTTTCAAATTAAGACTCTGTTAGTTTGCAAGGACATTAAAAACTGTGTGATTGAAAGATTTCTCTAATGATCAGTTTTCGAGAAAATCGAGTTTAAAGTTGAAACTTAGATCGCCTTTAGTTCAGCTATGAAAGCAAATTTTTTCATGAAGCGCATTTTACTAATGTTAATTTTGATGATCAATCAGAAAATTTACTCATTACAAGTAATAAAATTTTCTGTTTCTTGTAAATCAGATCACTTCGATTGTCAGTTAAACCGAACTCTTTCTGTGACCGTGTGAGTTAGAAGGCCGAAACTTATTATGCATGTGTAAATATTGTTGGTACGAATCATGGCTTGAATACTTTGTTCAATTTAAGAATAGTTCTCTTGATTTTGGCCTAAAACCTAAAAAACTTTGAACCTCGATATTCCGATAATGGTGGCATCTTCAATCGTAATTCTTTCACCAATTTTCTTATTTACTAATTAATAAATCAATTCAATTAAATAACTTTCGTTACAGGATTTGTGTAATGATTTTTGGGTTGTAAATGCACGAGCAACAACTTATTCAACAAACTAAACTCATCTAAACCCATTTCTTGGTAAATCAACCAATTTTCTGGTTAAACTTGCAAATGAATCGCAAAAAGTACTGCCAAAGGCTCGATCATTTGAGTAAAGAGTCGGGACTTAGTGGGTTTATAGCGGCATGAAAACTGAGTCCATTGGTACTATCTAATAATACATGCGATGGACAGTTTTTGAAAAAATCGAAGTCAAAGTTGAAACTTCGAATGCTTTTTGTTCAGCTTTGGAAGCAGATTTTTTCATCAAACTTTATTTTAATGATTTAAATTTTGCTAAGAAATCAGAAAATGCACTTATTTTGCAAAATAAAATTTCAGATTTTATGTAAAATATAAAAGTTCGATTATCATTTGAACTGACCTCTTTCTGTACCCGTAATAGTTAGAGGGCTCAAACTTATTACCTCTCAATAAAAATTGTTTGTACAAATAACGGCTTGAATACTTTTTTCAATTTATGAATAGTTCTCTTGATTTTGGCCAAAACCTAAAAAACTTTGAATCCCGATATTTCGAGAACGGCATTACTTAAAACCGCCATTCTTTAACCAAACGTTAGATTTTAATAACGTGCTAAAACATGATCAAATTTTAGATCATTAAAAGTACCACGGAAAAAGTTATAGCATTGATTAATTGTGTTACCAGATTTTGTGCTTGGTTTATAAAGGTAAATGGATATTAAAACACAACATCTTATGATGTGTTACTCAAATAGTCTGTTTTGCAAATCTTTACATAAATGAAATGTTTAAAAGATCATTGAAAGAGACTTTGACTCTCGAGTTTAGAATTGAGTTATGGTGTGTTTGCAGGAGCAAAAACTGTGTCTATTTAAGCTATGAAAAAGCTTATCCGATAAACAGTTCTCGAGAAAATCGAGGTCAAACTTCAAACTTCGATCGGCTTTCATTCAATAATGGAAACAGATTTTTGTGTGAAACTTCATTTGCCTGATGTAACATTTGATGAGCAACCCGAAAATGCATTTATTACAAGGAATAAAAGTCTCTTTTTTTGTATAACAGGTCAATTCCATTTTCGATTAAAACTGACCTCATTCAGTGAACGTAAAAGTTAGACAACTGAAACTTATGATTCGTCGACAAAAGTTGTTGGTAAACATCAGTGAACGAAAACTTTTTTCAATTTGATGATGGTTCTCTTGATTTTGGCCATTAGTCTTTTGAACTTTTATTCGCAATATCTCGAAAATTATGGTACCTAAAAGCATCATTGTTTGCCTCCTTTACCTTTGCATTATGGGCTAAAATGTGATGAAATATAAAGTCATTCAAGATCCTACGAAAAAAGTTATAGCATTGTATTAGTTATGTTACCAGATTTCGAGCTTGATTTATAAAGATAAATGGTTTTTCTAACTCAAATCTTATGATGTATTAGAATCATATTCATTATTGCATTAATTAACTCATATCGTCTC